AACAATGATGGAGATAATTGTGGAACGGAATATACTTCATCACGCCCCCGCAAGTTGAGGCTCCGTGAGGTGAAACTTGGAGCAAAACCGGCTGAATGTTATGCGTGGGAGTGGTTTAGTGAGCATGTCGGCTAGCTGATCGGCATCAGGGAGGTAGTGAACATGAAGATGACCTTTGCTGACTTGATCCCGCACGAAGTGAAATTCTATCTCCATGTGCTTCGACCGACTGTGAAACACCGGGTTATGGGCAAAAAAGGTAGCGCCAAGATTGTCGCACCATAAGGCAGGAGCCGATGGAATCGGCTGCCCCAATTCTTCTAATAAGGAACGTAGCCAAAGGACCTCGGAGGCCAGCGTAGCTAGAGCACGGTACTCACACTCAGTAGAGGAGCGGGCAACGGACTTCTGCTTGCGAGTAGACCAGGAGATTAAATTAGGACCACAGAAGACAGCATAACCGGTAATGGATTTCCGGTCCTTGGGACAAGAGGCCCATGACGCGTCTGAATAACCATGAATATGGAGTGAAGAAGATCTGGTGAAAACGAGCCCACGAGTGATCGTACCCTTGAGATAGCGCAGTATGCGCTTTACCGCTGCCCAATGAATATCGGTGGGATGCTGTTGGTACTGAGAAACAAGGTTAACAGCAAAGGAGAGATCAGGCCTTGTAAAGCTGAGATACTGCAGGCTGCCAACAATACTTCTATATAGACCAGGATCGGAGAAACTGGGAGACTGAGATGAAGCAGCCTGGTGAAGGATGTCAGTAGTGACCGGTGTAGAAATGGGATTGGCAGCTAGGGATGGCAATGGGGCGGGTTTGGAGCGGGTTTGTCTAAACCATCCCCATCCCCATCTTCAAATACCCAAACCCATACCCGCCCCATACCCATGCGGGGGAATGTTTTGCAAACCCATCCCCATACCCGTGGGTTTCGGGTACCCATGGGTAATACCCATCCCCGTACATCCAACATTATTATACTTAAAACTTACAAGAAAAGTTTTAATTATAACCATAAACAAACCTATTATATCATGAAGTCAACAAAACACGGTCATTTTCTAAATACGATTCAAAGAATATGATCCTAAAACATCCATTAATACATAATATAGACTACAAATTTTTTAAATTATTATGCTCTAACTCTTGATACATTTACTAAGTAATAATTAACTAACATAATCTTGTTGACAAAGAGAAAAGTGAAAGAGTAGAAGGAGAATTGAGGGAAATGAATTAGGTTTTGATTAAGGTGATTACTCAATTGCATTTCTACTATTTATTTTCTCGAGTTATCATCATCATCATTGATAGATTACAATTTAATCCACATATTTTTGGATATGTGAAGGAATTCTCTTGGTGGGGCGGGTATGGGTATGGGTATGGGGCGGGGGAGGCTAAAACCATACCCGCCCCATACCCATCAAACTTTTTGCGGGTTTTACCCATACCCGCCCCATACCCGGTCAAAGCGGGGATTCCCCGCGTTGACTGGGTCGGGGGCGGTTGGGTACCCGCGGCCATGGGTTTGATTGCCATCCCTATTGGCAGCTGTCATTTTGGCACGGTCGAGAATGTCCAAAATAAATTTACGCTGGCTGAGGATGATTCCACTGTCTGTGCGATGAACCTCTATGCCCAGGAAATAAGACAAGGGTCCTAATTCCCGAAGTGCAAAGTTGTCATGAAGAAAGGCCATGAGCCGTTGAATAAGAGCTGTATCATTACCGGTGATGACGATGTCATCGACATACACAAGCATGTAGAGGCGAACAGAGGCTGACTTGTATATAAACAGAGACGGATCGGTGCGAGATACCGTGAAGCCAAAGCGAAGCAGAGCAGCAGCCAGGCAATGAAACCAGGTGCGAGGCGCCTGGCGAAGGCCGTAAATTGATTTGCGTAGCCTGCAAACATGATCCGGTTTGTCCGGGTCAACAAATCCTGGAGGCTGCTGCATGTAGACAGTTTCCTGTAACTCACCATGGAGAAAAGCGTTAGCAATATCAATTTGATGCAGAGGCCACGCTTGAGTCACCGCGAGACCAAGAACAAGCCGCAGTGTAGCAGGCTTAAGAACGAGACTGTAGGTCTGATGGAAATCCAGGCCAGGAATTTGCTGAAATCCCCTAGCCACCAAACGCGCCCGATGTCGATCGAGCGAACCGTCGGGATGAATCTTTGTGCGCCAAACCCATTTATTGGTGAGAATGTTGCAGTCAGGCGGTGGAGGCACCAAATCCCAGGTTTGATTGCGGAGCTGGGCTGATACTTCTTCGGCCATAGCCGCGCGCCAGTGCGGGAGCTTCATGGCCTGAGCAACTGTGGTGGGAGTATCATCTGTGGGGAGATGGGAGACGAAGGTTTTGGGCTTGAGATTTCCGGTTTTAATTCGAGTTACCATGGGATGAGCTGAGGAAGTGGGGTTTGTAATCGCAAGAGGGCGTGGCGATGTGTTAAACGGGGGACGAGAAGGAAGCTGGCGGCGAGGAGGCAGGGGAGTGGCTTTGGGTCGCGGCTGTGGTGGTTGGGGAAGAGGATCAGAGGGGCCAGGGGTGGACAGAGGGAAAGAGGGCGGTGGGTGAGAGCTAGTGGGCTGGGAGGTGGGAGAGGGTGATGGGCTAGTGGGGAGTGGAGTGGGAGTGCGATTAATGAGATAGCAGGCTGTATCGAAGGCAAGAGGCCAGTATTTTTGAGGAACGTTTGAGTGATGTAAAAGAGCGAGACCATTGTTCACGATATGACGATGCTTGCGTTCAGCACACCCATTTTGTTCAGGTGTATAGGGACAGGAGGAGCGATGGGAAATGCCATGTTTGCTTAAGTAGGAAGAAAGGGCTTGATATTCACCGCCCCAATCTGACTGAAATGTTTTGATGGGAGTGCCAAAATATTTTTCAACCAATTGGCGAAATTGAATGAAAACACTAAGCAATTGCGATTTATATCGAATGAAATAAATCCAGGAAAATTTGCTATAGTGATCATAGAAGAGAATATAATAAGATTGATCATCATAGGATAGAACAGGGGCAGGTCCCCAAACATCACTGCAAACAAGTTCTAATGGAGCAGAAGCTTGAAACGTAGAAGAGACAAAGGGTAATTTGTGAATTTTACTGACAGCACAACCATGACACAATGATGATTGAGAGGGAAGAAATTTTATTTGGTGTTGATGAAGAGCCTGCTTGACTACACGATCATGAGCATGCCCAAGGCGACGATGCCACACATCCAACGTAGCAGTACAGGCCAGAGGTGGAAGATTGCGAAAAATGTGAAGGGGAAGGGAGTAGAGACCATCCACCGCATAGCCACGATAAATCTCATTCGCCGTGCGCCGGTCCTTAATGACAAAGAGGGAGTCAAAGAATTCGATGGAGATAGGATTAGTACGAGTAAGAGCACTAATGGACAAAAGATTATAAGGAGCATGACGCACATGAAGAATATTATTTAAGGTAAGGGGAGTATTGGATAAAGAAGCACGAGAGGAACCAACATGGGATATAGGAAGAGAATTACCATTGCCAAACATGACATGATCGGTGCCGTTATATTCAGAATGATGAGCAAGATTATCCAGATCCGAACTTAAATGATGATTTGTACCGGAGTCCATGAGCCATTGTTGGGAATTAAGGAGTTGGGCTGGAGAAGAGGCAAACATAGTATGTGGGCTGGAATAAGAGGAGCCTGGTGGGCCATAAGTGGCGTAGGAACCAACAGAGGGAAAGGAGACAGGCTGCTGGGCTTGGGACTGAAGATTTGGGCTGGGGCAGTTGGGCTTTATATGCCCTCGTCCCCCACAGTTGTGACACACCACAGAAGTCGAATTGGGCCTTGAACCAAGTATCCCTGCAGCTGGGCCGGACCTGCCAGAAGACAGAGGAGGGTTAGAAATAAAACGGCCCCTGGGAGACCCTCGGCCACGACCTCGGCCGCCTCTGTGGCCACGAAAAGTGGTGGTGCTGGTGTAGAAAGCGATCGGCGCCGGAGATTCAGGGCGCACAGAGTATCGCCGGATTTGGCTTTCTTCGCTCAGCAACAGGGAGTGCAGATCCTCGAAACTAATCGGCTCCAGGCGAGACTCAATGTGACGAACAAAGGGGCGGTACTCCTCACCAAGACCGTCGAGAAGCCACGCGATAAGGTCATCGTTTTTGAGCGGAGCACCAAGGGCAGCAAGCTGATCCGATTTTGCCTTGGACGCCTGGAGATAGTCATGAATCGTAGCCTCACCACGCCGAAGGGTTTGAAGCTCCTTCGTCAAATGACGAATCTGAAGTTTGGAGCCAGAAGCATAGATGCGAACGAGAGCAGACCAGGCATCATATGCAGTGAACTTGTTGATGACATTTGGGAGAACAGACTCCGAGAGAGAAAAATTGATCCAGGAAAGAACGTACTGATCACGTTCATACCAGATCAAATAAGCCGGGTTCGGACGGCCATCAACAAGCTGAGGTGGAGCTGGTAGGGTGCCGTCGACATGACCCATAAGACGATGACAACGGAGCAGCGGCGTGATCTGCGCATGCCATAATAGATAATTGGTAGGTGTAAGTTTGATGGATAACTGGGGATTGGCAGGAAGGGCCAGCGTGGTTGCTGGTAAAGAAGAGGAATCAATGGCGGCAGAGGTGGAGGAAACAGAGGAAGGCTCAGTCGCCATTTGGAGAAGAAGAGAAGAAAAACAGTGGAGAAGGAGAAAGAGAAAGAAAAATTCTCGTTAGAGTGTGATGCTCTGATACCATAAACGAGCTCAAGACTTGAGTCTTTTCTTATTGAATGAATGTCTATTTAAAGTACAATGAGTTGCAGGAAAAGAGGAACTGAAAGCAGTAAACAAGGAGCTGTAACAACCCACTAACAGCTAGTCTAACAGCTAACAATGATGGAGATAATTGTGGAACGGAATATACTTCATCAGTATGCTGTTGTGGTCTCGTGGACTTGTGTTACGTAAGCTAAAGAGCTTGTTCCCATTCCCACCAAAGAAAGAGATGGCTGCGCGCTGCTTCTGGACCAGCGGCAGCTGTTCCGGCAGCAACCCAAGCCAACGCTGCCGTTCGCCAGCGATTCCGGAGTTTCATACCCAAATTCTATTTCCGTCCTCTTCTTCTTATTATTATTATCATCATCTTCCTATTTTAAAGAGTGATTCTTCTTCTCGTTTCATTGGAGGCTGCACAAACCCCACCCCATACCCATACCCACACCTTCGCCGTACCCGCCGCCGCCGCCTGTTCGCTCAGCTGCCGCCGCAATCCGACCCGCCTCCCGATAAGGAGCCGCTGACGCTCGGAGGTGATTCAAATCAATCCCTCCACGCTTTTGCATATTTCTGCTTCACTCTAGCACTTGTCTGTTGGGGGGTGTTTATAGATCAGTGAGAATTTCATTTCCTTCCTGGCGCCTTTTATCAAACAGTTGGTGGGTGGGTTCTTTTGATTCTACGGTCAATTGCTACCCATAATGGACTCGACTCTAACACACCTGTGCTCCGTTGGAGAGTGTATATCAAGTCAATTTTGCTGGTTGTTGATATATAAAGTAGGCTCTTAGCTTGTAAATTGAGTATTGACATGGCGAGTGGTCTCTTCTTCTTGTGGTGCAGGTTTAGTGGAGGGTATATCTGGATTCCAGGAAAGGGTTCGGATATTCTTTGCGGTATTTGTATGGATGTCTCTATTCTTCTGGTACTCAGCTTGGGATGGCAGGAATGAAGGCGGCGGTGGCGGCGGAGGTATTATGCCCAACAAAAGATCCCGATCTCCGTTCAGAAGATGAACTCGGAACCAACTTATCAAAGCATTCGATTTTGTTTACAGCTTGTGTATAAGTGTATTAGTTGTAAAGGAATAATATGTAGGCGACATTTGCTACTTTAAAGGATTGTAAATTATACTACAGAGATCAGCTATCTTTGCACCGGCAAAATTGACGTTTGGTCTGAATAAAAGCAAGAATAATATGGACCAGCACATGAACCAGGAGTCGGATACTTTGTTCCTCTCAACAGGGTTTCGACAGCATTTCGCTCGCTTTCAGGTGAATGTTGATGGGATTGGACCTACTGGCGAACGCCTTTCGCTCGCTTTCAGCCATCTTATCCACATAAAGCGTTCCATCCAGATGATCACATTCGTGCTGTTCTGTAAGATACCAGCCTGCCACCCGGAGGCTTCAACCTTGATGGGTGCACCATCACGGCTCAACCCTGTAACCTCGACTTCCAGACTACGCTCCACCAAAGCCCTGAATCCATCAAACACTGCGACGGGGAAACCCATAAAACAACTAAGCCATTGTGAACTGCAGGACAAATCACAGGACATGAATACAATAGAATAACACATTCCATAGAACCTTTTTGTTCCCTGCCCACATACCAGAAGGTCAAATGGTCGCCTATCCTGTGCTTTAGTCTCTTCTTCTGGTACATAGCTAATATATTCTTGTGTATCTTCCAATACTATTATCTGCAGCAAAGTGAATGTTTTTTTCCTCTAAGAAATTGCATCTATCACAATCAACGGTAACAGAAACATCGAGGGGAGAACATCCACGAAGAAAATGATAGCTGCAGAATAAGGATAGCCGATTCTGGGTTTAAGGAGCTTATTCTTGCTAATCCCGAACTATCATTTCAAATAAACACATACCAGAAGGGCAAATCAAAGAGGGAGATGGAATGAACTCAGCCATATTACAGAAAAATGAGTCAAATATCTTCCATATAACTCAAGCAATCAAAACACAGGAAAATCTCGCCACGGCATTGGAAGCACCATCTTTGTCAAACTTCAGTAGTAACCCAGATAAAGGAAACCAAAGGCTTAAGAAGGGATCTTCCCTTCCTATCCAAGTGCTACTGAGGAGGTCGGAAAACTACAACGAAGGAACAATGATGCTGCCAAGGTTTACTGGACTTCCAGCTCAATTCAGTCAAATAGAAGTGCGAAATCCAGGAAACGGATAAATGTAGGAGCCATTACGATCTGTCAAATACTCCCATTGGATTCAACCCTCAAGGAAAAATACAAATTCCCTACGTTGTGGCCATAGCTAAAAAAATCAACATACAAGAACTAATAAGCAGATGAAAGTAAAAGAGCTAATCAGCTGAATTCTCTTCTTGATAATCACAGCAACAAGTGAAATGCAGCTAAACCTAGGAATATCTACAACTAGGGGCTTTACTAAAATTGAGGTTCCCCAAGAACTCAAAATCACGGATGGATAAAGCACAAACGAAGAAACCTGACCCTCAGCGGGATTCCAATCTGGGGAGCAGCCAGCTCAACTCCTGGAGCTAACCTCATAACCTTAACCATGTCATCAATGATCTTCTGTATCCTTTCCGAACTGATTTCCCCTGGGTCAGCTACACGAGCTGGTTCGTGCAACACTGGGTCACTAGCTTTTACTATCTCTGGCAAGGCCGGTTTAAAGTGCAAATCAAACTGGTCATATGAGGTTTCTTTATAATGATACCTTAGAAATCTTTTTGCCAACAACTACTCCAATGACAATGGCAAACAGAGATATGAGAGCTCCTTGTCTTGAGAGCCAGAACTCGGTCCACGTCAATGGCCTCGTGACTTGAACTAGAACCATCCTAAGATTTTCTTCTAGATCCTCTAATGAACCAGTGTTGTCAATCACAATGTCCGCCCTCGACCGTTTCTGATCCAAGGACATTTGAGCATTTATCCTATTTCGAGCATCCTCCTCGTTACTGCTATCTCTTGCCATAAGCCGTTGTAACTGCGTCTCCGGATCCACCCATACGACAACAGTGGGCTCTGTCCACCTATCCATCTTCGCCTCAAACAACAGAGGAACATCAAGAACAATAACCTTGTTACCTTTTAGCCATAGCTTGAGAACTTCACAAAAGATCCCAGAGGATATGTAGGGAGCCAATAACCTGCAAGGAAGCCAACATTGAAAGAACCCGGTCAAGATACAAAACCTTTCAACAATATTAAGCAAAGATATGGGGGAAGAAATAACAGAAAATCTACACAGCATGGTTTATCAAGACCAAGTAATTTTCAGATGATGGATGGAAACTTGGAGTGGGTGATTCATAATGAACCTGTTAAGAAGCTGGCGCTTTCCAGGATCCGAGAAAACAATGTGGCCAAGCTTAGCCCTATCAACTTCTCCATTGGGTAGCAAAATATCTTCTCCAAATGCATCAACAACTCTTTTGTGGCCTCCGGTGCCCTTCTTCAGAACATCCTGTATATTATATATACAAAAACCAGTCGGAAGATCATATCTTTCGTATATACCAAAACCGGAAGATAGGTGTTACAGGTGGAGAGCACTTGCTAGTTGAATATGCACAAGCTACCACTAGGTAAGCTGTAAGCACATTGATCAATGGCAAGAACTTACCACCAAGAATCACCTACATTATCAAAGAGAAATTTAGCAAACAATCAAACCATCATCCCGTGAAATGAAAGTTCCTATGGGTATTCGGATAAACCATCTAGCACTATAACTTGTATGCAGTTAATCAGCCAAGATCATCTCTGCACTACATGAACTAGGACGCCAGAGGTCGAAATTGAGAGACAAATCGAAGTGCTAATTTAACCCGGTCGTCCAAATTCAGGCAAGCTAATAGCAGAAACCAAATGTAACCTAAATCTCGTTACAATGCATATTAGTATTGGACTGGTTCTGGTACGGGAAGCAAGCGCCGAGCCGTGTCAAGTTGAGTAGAGATGAGAGGTAAGATCGAACAGTTGAATGAGCGTGAGAGTGGGGAGAAGCAAGATCGCCGCCGGGACAGTGCTATTGATGATTACGGATATAAAGAGGAGAGAGGCTGGAGTACTCACCCGAGCAACGACGTCGGCGTCGACGACGGGAACACCATGGGACTTGAAAAGATTGGAGACGGTGCTCTTCCCGGACGAGATTCCTCCGGTTAATCCTACTATTCTCATTCCTCCACTTCAGGAGCTCGCTGGTATTGTACTGGATCGGCTTTAGGTGGTCACCCAATTCGTTCCCGCTCCAGAGCCCGGATATCCCAAAATTCGTCGAGGGTTCACGAATTTGGAGCGCGGTTTTTCCAGTACGACAGCAAAACAAGAAATCAAAACAGCCTCTATAAAGCAAAACTAGATAGTGTCAATATATTTTATCAAGGTTGTCAATCGGTTGACCCAGACCCGGTCGAGCTAGTAGGTTAAGAGTTAACGGATTACCCGTTTTAGTCCGGAAATATGGTAAGAGTCATTATATTGTACTTAGGGGTCGTTTGGAAGTTGCGATTATTAAATAGATGTATTGTTGAGAATGCATGTATAATATTATACATGTATTGTCGAATTTGATGCATTGTAGAATACAACGTTTGGTATGTGTGATTGTGTATGTCACATCAGCTAAAAGCTGAGACAAAACAATCTCAACTCAACTATCTCAACAATCACAACTAAAAGTTGAGATATAACAATCACTCAAAATGAGTGATAGTTTCTGTCACATCACAGAAACAATCCATGTATTGTTTTTACTAAAAAAACAAAAAAACGATGCATTGTAAACAATACATGCATAATGACAATCTCAACAAAACTATCACAACTTCCAAACGACCCCAAAGTACATTCTAATAAATTATATCAAATCTCCTCTCACATATGAGTAATAACATATAACACCAAAGTACATGTCGTACTTAGATCCAACATATAGTGAAAATTCACACACTTATATAACAACAATATTCAAATGTTCAACTAAAGATTCCAAAGATTGAGTTAGGCAAAAAGAAAAGTAAGAAAATAGGTGTATTTCTCAACCCAAAGAAAAAAATGACACAATATGACCTCCAACTAGGGCTGCAAATGAGCCAAGCCGCTCGCGATCAACTCGACGTTCGAATCGGAAAAAACTCGTACGATACTTGACTCGTTGTTTAACAAGCCAGCTCGCGAGCCGGCTCGTTAGTAAACGAGCCAAGCTTGAGCTAGGCCATGCTCGGCTTGATAAGCTCGTGAGCTAGCTTGACTTAGTGGCTTGTTGAGCTAAGCTCGCGAGCTAGCTTGTTTAAAGCTTGTGGAAGGATTAATTATTCTTCTAAACATGAAAATTATCTTGTTAATAAGGATGTGTATGGAAGTTAGATGTTATTTTTAGTTTCTAGTGATCTTTTTATCATTTTTAATTTCTAATGTTCTTATTACACATTTTTCAGCAAGAATGGTTTCAAATCGAGCTTATCTTGAGTCGAGCTTGTACTCAGCTTGACAAGCTGTGTTAATGAGCATTTATCGAGCTCTATCAAGCCGAGATCGAGCTGGATTATTTTTAATCGAGTCGAGCTTGAGCTTGAGCTGGATGATCAAAATTAGAGTTCGAGCTAAAAAATTTATAAATGAGCCGAGCTCAAGCTAAGCAAAAACTCGACTCGACTCGGCTCGTTTGCAACCCTACCTCCAACCCGATACCTTGTAGCGGTCGACCCGGTGAGTGCGTACGACCTATTTTTCTCACCGGTCAGAGTCAAAGTGGGTCAACCCGCGGGTTGACAACCTTGGATTTTATGTTGAAAATGCGGTTAATCACCGTTCAATCATATTATATCTCTAAAAATTATTTATTAATTTAGACTCAGATATTAATTAGTATTTTTATAAATACTAATTTTAACATGTGTTTATACTTTATATATATAATTTATCCAATTTTCAACATGACACCCACTAAACTATATGGCAAATTATACATTCCTTCCATTCCACGTTTGGTGATCTAAATCTTGTGTAAGATGATAAAGAAAATCAATTGATCCCGTTTTTGTTTATGTTTTTTTTAACGGGATACATTAAATATGCAAAAGGGGAAAGTCTAATGAAAATGTTACAAATCAAACAAAAGATAACATAGGCCAATAAGCCAAGCGTAAAGAATGGAGCCCAAACAACAACCTGAAAACCCAATAGGGTCGAGACACAAGCTCGATATGAACTCAGCTCTCGACTCTAGCTACCGCTTGTTTGCCCTTGGCTCCTCACCTCCATTGCAAGCAATAGCAACCCTCCTCCAACCAGACCTAAGAAAGACAAGTAACAAGAAGAAAAGCTTGGAGCCCAACAACCTGGTGGAAGGCAGCAGAAGCAGCACGTTACGCCTCCACCAATACCGTGTCGGATCCAACTCCGTCAGCTCCCCGTCGCCAAACACAAACGCGAGAAACTATCGATCGAAAGGGTGGCCGATGACGAGACCACGAGGGTAACCTTCACTTTTCAAGATCATCAGTCTGAATCTAAGCACGATGGCCACATTTCCGAATCACCGAGACCAGACCAGACCAGATGCCAAAATCTCAACCCAGCAAAGAGGGCAGAAGATCCACAAAAGGGAAGAGATCCGCAATTGATCCAGTTATATTGAACACTTGCCTATTAGCATTAGCAAAGATTGTAAATCACATCGGAGGTTGCACCAGAAAATCAACAGTAGAATTTATACTAAAAATATGGTTTAACCATTTCATACTTTTAAATATCACCTACAATTTAAAAGTCTGATAGGAAATATTCTCGATCGGACCGTCGATACAATTTTACAAACACTAAACGGTCCGGTTTTCCAACCGCTGAGAATTAACCTTGGGGTACATATCATAGCAAAATATCGGGCCTGAATAGAGAACCGTGGATCAATTATACTAATTCAACCGTAAGCAGGTGAGTGCCCAATAATCGCCCCTATCTGGAAAATTGGGACTATCAGAAAAGGAAAAAAGAAACAAATGTAGACTAAATTTGTTTCCTCCTACCTACTTCAAGCACCCAATAAATACTTATTCAAGAAAAAAAAAACTTAATCAATCAAGAAATTAGCCAAAAGAATAAGAACCCAACTAAGAAAGAAAACTATACATGCCGGGCCATAAAAAAAGAAAAAAGAGGCAGAAATTTGTCCTACTAATAAACTAAAACCTACTACTTCTGCTGACCCTCACCCTCCATATCCCGCACACTGTCCACTATATGCCGGATTTTGTTTGATAGACACTCGTTGTGCTCTTCGATCTGTTCGAAAATCAGTTCCAGATGTCTTTTGTAGGTCGCGGCTCTTTTCTTCTCCACGGCCAACTGCTGGGACAACTCCTGGATTTTATCATGTTCATTCTGCAACACAAAAAAATGCAGTTGACAAAAAACAGTCAACGGATATCAATATGGCAGCTTGCTGGTGCTGAAATGACCAACTCTGACTAGTTCAAGTGCTGCATACAAAGACCTGATGCCTAAGTGACTAACTCTTCCTCAGTTTGATACTGAAGCCCTAACTTGGAATACCCTAATTATGAGTTGCGCTAAATTGGTTTCAGCAGTCAACCTCTCCTTCACGGAATAGTAAATTTTCTATCAGAAATATAGGTGATTCATAATTCAGTTATGAAGAGTGACAGAAGTTTATTAGCAAGGAATTTCTAGGGACCCAATTACTAGAGATGGTATCCAAAATCTCTGATTCTACTTCCATCTGCTAAGTTCAACAATTAAACTCGTGTCGAATCATAAGATCCCACGGCTTGCACATTTTGATTGAGATCAAACTGTAATTGACGAGCACAACCGCAACTACCATGATTTCAGCTCTCTAAAAATGTCAGGGAGGAAAGATTGGAAAGCAGTAATTCTAAGATGTCAGGGAAGAAAGAACTAACCGGATACTGATCGTAAATGCAATCTCTTCGGCCCCTGCCAGGCGTCAATGGATGAGTATGCTCCTTCACAAACTTCGTAACCATCCACTTGCCAGAATTTACTCTCCTCACCAACATCATCGCCCTGCAACCAACCCTAGTCTCCACTCTCTGTCTAACAATTTTCTCTCGCTTGTCTGGCATTCTAAAACCCTCTTTATTACAAACAAGCGCCCGACCAATGGCAGAACCATCCCTCCTAGAGCGAGACAGCTTGCTCACTCGGATGATGAATCCCACTTGTGTTGCATAAGAATTATAAAATGCATGTGCAGCTGCTTCAGAGTCGAATTCCTGTCCCACATATGGCTCATCAGCAGTATCTGCATCTGAAACTGCAAATCCATCTTGGAGCTCATCAGGAGACTCTTGATCCAATTTCTTGCACTGGTCCTGCTGAAATTCCCCAGTTATAATGTTGTTAACACCAATTTCACTTTGATCACCTACTTCTTGACTATCATCATCTAGTTCAATATTTCTTTCTATATCTCCATTGACATCATCATCATCAACCCCAAACTCCACTGCAACAAGAAGCAGTTGTTATAAGGATGGCTGTAGCTACATAATGGAGTTATAGCGACACTAGTATAGATCTAATTGAGATCCCAAATAATAAACAGGAGTACAATTTTATGGAGCACGGGAAAAGAACAATTATTATCAGATCAATGAGATGAAAAAGAGGGGATGCAACCAAATCCAAAGTTTTCAAATAAGCAAGCAAGAATCGCAAGTGCTGAATACACCACCTAAAAAAAGGGTTGCCTCATATAATATGGACAAGGGGCAGCAGGCAACCTTAAGTCAGTTGCGAGTGATCACGGACCACAATTTATAAGAAGACCTTTTAAACTATCCTTTATTCAATTGAAGCCGTGAAGTAAAATAATAGCCTTACAAAATGGAGACCCTCTACATGATTTTTGCATGCACAAAAAGAGAACAGAAACACAATAATGAGAGAATATGTGCTGTTTTCCCTGACTTTCAATTGTAGCTTCTGAACATAACCCAAAAACAAACAATATAATGCAACATTAATTTATAAACAGTCTACTTACTCAACTTGATAAACTCGCCAGAAGCTTTAGTCGAGAGTCACCACAGGAACCTGAAAGTCAAACTATATGGAGACACATCAGCACAGAACTGAGATTGTAGTAACTAATATCCCATATCACTCTAGTTTGAGCCCTTAATCTGAAAATTCAAATGCATTTATTGCTAGGAAGATTGTTGATCTGATTTCACATATGCATCCTCTGTGGAGCAATAACCAGAAAACGCCAGACATGTGTTACCAATTGATTTTATTGCAACAAAGATGTCTTCTGCACTGCAAACTTTGTAACAAAATTTCCTAATACTAATATACCAGAGAACACACTTGAGAATATGTTCCAGTAATGTTGCTTGTGAATCATGGTTTTAAATAAAGAGTGAATTAACCATCTATTGTGGCTTCATGGCTTCACCTAATGTACATGCTACATGGCACCCAAGAAATATCTTAGCATGGAGTGAACTGTGAGGAGTATGCCAGAAGTAGAATTACCTAGTAAACTATAAGGATATCCAACAGTATGCAAGAAGTAGGGTTACCTAGTAAATTATGAGAATTGTATGTGCGTAAATATAATATAGTAAATTGAAATGCCAAGCACAAATTAGAAAAGCAGGACAATAACATGCAGAAAAACTGGACAAGGAAAGGATGGATTAGAAGCCACAAAAGAGATCAACCCTAAAACTCATGAATTGCCAAATCTTCTGTCGATTTAGGGAGAATTCGCCAATGCAATGTTAAAAAAAAAAACCCACGAAACTCAAAGTAATGAACTTGCCACCAAGGAAGGTAAAAGACACAAAGCAGCAAGCAGAGGATCATATAAGTAATGTTAAACCCTACCAGCAAACAGACATATACTCAATCTAATATACATTAGCACCAACCATGTAGCCAAGCAAGCTACCAACTGATTTGCCCTTTATCAAAGTAGATTCCAATAGCAGATTAAGTTCAAAACCACAAATCATCCGAAAGCTATAAAATCTACCCTTTACATTTGTATGAAATCAATCAAACAATTATTAGTTCAGATGAGACTCAAAGTGCGCTTGAACAAATGAACTCCACTATAAAACTGAAAGGAGCTCCAATTTCACCAACTCTAACCTTACAACGGAGAAAACCCGCTGAAAACAGAAGGATGAAGTCAAGACGTCAGAAAAAGAAAATACCCGAATAGTGAGAAGGTGGATTGAGGAAGACACGAACAAACCCCTGAGAGCTTCTACTCCCCTCTCTTTGCTGCTTGACCCATTTACTGATTTTTCCGAGCAGCTTCGCCTCTCACCTGCTAATTCGATCGCGAGTGGACGTGCAGCAAGTGTCCAATTCAACTCTTTAATCGTTCCAGAGGTCTCTATTTTTCCTACTCTTTCTATTCGCCCTGTCGATAAGCCAAAGCCCTGGGCGCCACACCAGCAGCCGAAACCGAGGTGGTGGAATTCAGGCGGCGGCAGGTGAAGGCAGACGGAGCAAGACTCCGATCTCTGTGGCGTTCGATGAAAGAATTACCAATATGCTTCCTTCTTTTTCAGCTCCAATATATCTGCTCCCTCCGACTAATCGACTGGCAGCGCCGGTAGCGAGATGCCGTTACAGCTCTGTTTCTTCCCCGTCTATCTCCTCTTTCCTTCATTTGTTTTCCCCTTCTTTCCCCGGTTCTTTAAATAGGTTTAAAAGGGTCAACGAGCCCGAAACGCAAACTTGCTATGGTTTGGTTTTGGTGATAGTTAAATAGATGTATTGTCATTAATATATGCATAATAATATACATGTTTTTTTTTTTTTTTGCATATAAGGAGGCAAAAGCCAAGAAGAGAGGTTACAAGGAGGATTGAGGAGGGGAAGAGTTACACTGGCGGGGCACAATCCGCCTCTCAAAAGAAACTCCCCGAGTATCATCCTGAAGAATAGCCACTACCCCTGATGGCGGGTGTGCGAGTTCCTGTACCCCGTAGGGATAGACGAGACTGTGCTTCGAGAGCCAGTCCGCGACTCTATTCCCTTCCCGGTATACATGAACAACGCGCACCAGCCAGTCACGGCTAAGTCTCCTGCGAATGGCAGCAAGCAAGGTGGAGTACGGGTGGACCGGGTCATGCCTGTCTTTAATCAGCTGAATGGCCAATTGAGAGTCTGATTCAACCACGAGCTGGCGGTACCCCAACTTCCAAGCTAAATCCAAGCCATGATGAAAAGCCCATAACTCAGCCAAAGCTGCAGAGGCGTCCCCTATCATGGCAACAAAACCACCGAGCCAACGCCCAATCTCGTCTCTCAAAACACCCCCGGCCCCAGCAAGACCCGGGTTCCCATTGGAAGCACCATCAATGTTAAGTTTCACCCACCCCTCAGTAGGCGGGCTCCAAGCAATATTAGCCATGACCCGAGCCGCCACAGCTTTCCTTCCATTCAGCAACAATGAAGGTGCACACCACGCCTCGTTCCAGAGCCTGGCTCTGGCAACAATCGAATGAGTCAAGGAAGGAGGGGTGAGGGTGGAAGGAATACCTTTAAAGCACATGTCATTTCTGTTCTTCCATAACAGCCATATAGCAGTGCTGAAAAAAGCAGGCCACCGGATCCCGACATGCTCAATCTCATCCGCTGCCAAATTCCCCCTTAACCAGTCCGCAGTGTTTGCTGAGAAGAAGACCTGTTGTCTTTCACTTGGCACTTGTCTCGCCCAGAAGTAGGCAGCCGGTGGACAGTCCCGAAGAATGTGAAGAATGGTTTCAGTCTGACCACTACATCTCCCGCAGTCCGCCGAATCAGTGATCTTCCGTGAGTGTCGAAGGGCATTAGTCGCAATTCTACCAAGACTCACCAGCCAGACGAAGCATCAAACTCTCTCCGGAACAGGAAGGCTCCAAATAATCTTCCAAAACTTGGCATCCGGATCATTCCCTTCAGGTAAAAGGGACTGGTAAGCAGTCTTCGTGGTGAACTGGCCATTTGACGATAGGGCCCAGAAGAGGGTGTCCTCCTCGTTGGAGAGCTTATCCACCGCCACGCTGGTGATCTTCATCTGCATCTCTGTCGAGAGGAAATCTTCGAGAAGCTCCGTGCGCCATCCTCCATCCTCTGAGGTCAAATCCGCCACCACCTCGTCCCTGCGCGAGTAGGGGACCTCCGCTTCAGCTAGATTCAAAAGAGGTTCCTGCACAATCCAAGGGTCATGCCAAAATTTAGTAGTTTTCCCGTTCTTGATATTCCACGCACAACCTCCCTTTAGGAGGGGAGAAGCCTTGTTCAAGCTTCTCCAAGTAAAGGAACTTCCCTGAATGGAGCGAAAAATATCCAGATTCTCTTTGTTCCGGCCATACTTATCCCTGACCACCTGAGTCCACAAAGCGTCCTTTTCCTTGAGGAGCCTCCATCCGCTCTTAGCGAGCATAGCCAGGTTAGCATTTCTCACCGAACGCAGGCCAACTCCCCCTTGGTCCTTTGGCAGGATCATCTTCTCCCACCCAACTAAATGGAGCTTGGGTTTTCCTTCCTCCTCACCCCATACAAAGTTCCTGTTAATACGATCAATAGAAGAACAAACTCCTTTAGGTAGTAACTCTGTATGCATATGATGAGTGGGAATAGAGGAAATGATAGACCTGGACACAGTGAGACGAGCAGCCAAAGACAAACGTTTCGCTTTCCACGGAGCTAACTTCTTTTGGATGCGCAGCAAAAGACTCTGGTATCTCCCTGCCGTCACCCGCCCATGAATGCCGTGAATGCCAAGATATCTCCCAAGCTCATTCTTCAGGGGGATCTCCGCTCTGGCGCTCAAATCCCTGGCCTTTGATCTGCCCACATTCGGGGACACGAACAGCAAGGACTTGGCGTAGTTGACCCGCTGCCCGGAGCTGGAGCAGAAGTCATCCAGACACTGCTGATGATTCTGATCTGTCTCGTCTCAGCCTCGGCAAAAAGCAAAAGGTCATCTGCAAAGAAAAGATGCGTGAGAGGCGGCCCATCCCTAGTGAGCCTAACAGGCTTCCATTGCCCACTGTGAAGGGCCGCGTCAATCCTGTGAGATAAACGTTCCATGCATAAGACAAAGAGATAAGGTGAAAGAGGGTCTCCCTGTCGAACTCCGCGAGTGGGGGTGATGGTTGAAGAGAGGTGACCATTCCAGAGAACCCGCATATTATTCTGCTCCACGCAATACATGATACATCTGATCCAAGAGCTGGGGAGACCCACTTCCTTCAAGGTGTCACGAAGGAAATCCCACCGCAGCCTGTCGTAGGCTTTCTCAAGGTCAATCTTGAGAATCATGCCTCCTTTCTTCCCTTTACGCTTTCCCAGAGTGTGGAGCACTTCCTGCACAATGATGACATTATCCGTGGTCTGGCGCCAGGAATGAAACTGCTCTGCCTGGGGGAGATGAGCTTCTTCATGACCGGTTTCAACCTATTAGTGATTGCTTTGGTAATAGCTTTAAGGCTCACATTGTTGAGCGATATAGGTCGAAGTTGGGTCACATACTCGGGGTGATCGACTTTGGGGATGAGCACCACAGTAGACTCTGAGACCTTGTCAGGCAAAGAACCTGTGTTGAAGAACTCCAGAGCCATATCTGTCAAGGACTTCCCAACCACATTCCAGGCTTGTTGGTAAAAAGCAGCATGAAAACCATCTGGCCCGGGTGCCTGAAAGGGCTTCATCTCAAAGATAGCTTGGTGGATGTCCATGATGGTGAAAGGCCTTAATAGAGCAAGGAGGGCCTCCTGATCCAGCCGGGGGAAGGCATTCTTTGGCATCCTGTCCTCATAGGCCGAGTTATCCTGCAAATAGAGATTAGTATAAAAATCAAACACCATCTCCATCAGCTCCTGAGGTTCATCAATCCACACGCCTGCTTGATCTCGAAGGGCGGTGATCCTGTTCTTCCTTCTCCTGATATTGGTTTGCTGATGAAAATAACTGGTATTACGCTCCCCAAATTTAACCCAATGCTCCCTCGATCGTTGGTACCAGATCATCTCCTCCTGCTCCAACACCCTATCGAGCTCGGCCTCAAGCTTAGAATGGAGCTTGGCCAGGCCGGGGGAAAAACTCAGAGATATGTGTCTTTCCACTCCTTGAATCCGCCCAAGAAGTCGTCTCTTTCTCTGCTGCACATTACCGAAGGTATCCCTATTCCAGTCTTGCAGAACGGTGCTCAAAGATTGCAAAGCGCACGGCCAGGCTCTGGAGGGATCCCAATTCCCTGCAATGGTATTCAAAAAATCCTTATGAGTTAGCCAAGCAGCTTCAAATTTAAATGAGCGAGGAGGGTGAAGAGATTGCCCCTGGAAAGCAAAGGAGGTAAGGATGGGATTGTGGTCAGAGTTGAAACGAGGCAGGTGGCGGACAGCAGGAAAATACACCAGCCCGTTGGCCGAAATGTTCATATTTTAATATTTATATTTTTTTTGTTATGTTTAAGTCTATTAATTCGTTTAAGTTTATTGATAATCATTCAATCGAGATGCTATATAAAGAATGGATATATACGTCGAACATTCAGGAAAATACCCTTCTCATTTAAGACTATAAAAATGTGTCATTAATCCAATTTTCATAATGATAATTGAGCCCACATTAAAATGATATTGGTTAATAGATTGCCGAGAAATATATAATATAAAAGCTCATTGGAATTTCCACACGATCCATAGATAGTTTGAAACTGAAATGAAACCTCACAATCCCACACAAATGGTTCAAACCTCTCCTCTATGAATAACAATAACACCTAAAGATCCAATAGTTTCCACTCTCCGTTGTACAACCAACTTTTTATCCCCTCCATCTTCAATCTCTCGACGTATATGTTTTAAACCAAAATTCAATTTCTAATCCTCCTTGTGCAACTCCATTTATGCTACTTTGATGGACCTTCTCTCCATGAACTTGAATTTCTCTTTCAATTGAGTTTCTTGTCAGCTTGATCTCCAACTCCTCAATCATCTTTCTTGTATTTGGCCAACTCATCTTCCTCGGGGCACTTTTAATAAGCTCGTAAAACCAACACTCATCTTCAATTCCTTCAATATGCTATTCTCCTCGTTCTCTGCCTTCACATGATCTAGTTCACTTCCATACCCTTCAATACCCTCTCCATTTTCATTAATATTCTGATCATCTACCACTTCTCTCTCTCTTCAACTGCTCCGATTTTGCCTCTATGTCTTTCAATACCCTCCTTGGTTCAATCACTACCCTGACCAACTGCCTCTTCACTGTCTTTACTTGCTGCAAACTACTTCCATGACTTTTTATACACCTTCCTCAAAATCACAATCAACTAACCAATATCAATCCATGGCCTTGGATCGGTTTTAAACTCTCTATGAACATCTCAATACCACAAAGTCTAAATCTAAATATTCTTTCAGTTAATCATGAACTTGAGTTTATCAAAATCTAATCCACTCCTTTTAAGTTGGAATTCCCATCCCCCAAGCTCATTTTTGGTTCATTTGATCCCACATAACCATGATATTATACCTCTAACTAAATTAAATCAAAGCATTTTACGAAAAGAAACCGAACCAAACACAATTTCTTCCTCTCACCACTTCCCTTCCCAAACCCAATATTAACTTGTACTCCAAGTTCACAGTTCACACCCCCAACTCCTAGTGTGTCG